CTTTCCATCAAAATCAAGAAACCTCAAAGTTATACAAAAGAAGTTTCCTTTACTCACCTCATTGTCAGTAAACTAAATTGAGTACTAAATTAGCAACCTTTAGAGTTTAAAAATTGATGAAGTAATTAGTCTGATTAGTGATTACTATAATTTAATTTAACAATTAGGAAAAATGGAGATTTGTTGCAGATTCATCTGTTTCTTATGGGAAGAGGACAAAGAGGACCACGTGTGTGGAAGAATCAGTGTCCACTCTCAGATAAATGGTGAAATTTTTCTAGTATTAGTGACAATAATGCTTAGTGATTAAATTATATTTTACGTTTTGACCATTTGATTAAAAAAGAAAATAAGGAAGAAAACTTCAATTTTCTCGGGAAAATGAAGGTTGAGGGAACGAAAATCGATGGTGGAAAAAAAGCTCGTGAAACAATGAAATTTGGGATTCAAAACAATTTTTTTTTTTTGGAAGTGTAATGAGAGAATCCAAAAATGTCTGTATTTTGACACGGCTTGTGTCTCTCTTTAAGCAGACAAGTTTTTTAATTTACTAAAAACTTTTTCTGCAAATCTCTAAAAACTCTCTCTTTAAACGTCAGAAACAGAAACAGAGATTGGAAAATTCGAGAATCTCACCTGGAAATTTGAGAGATTTGATGAAGAAACCCTAAGGAGTCAAAACCCGTGATTGATTTGTCCCGAGAAATGTTCTTCTGTCCTCGTCGGAGATGGAGAAAACTCGCCGGAAAGAGAAACTAATCGGGAAATTTGAAAGTGAGCTTAGAAACGGAAACAGAGAGAGTGAAGGCGTTATTTTCGCGCCACCTAATTTGGGTATAAAAGAGGTTATAACTGAATTTTTCTCTTAAGCTAATCTCTTTCCCAGGAATCGAACAAAAAAATTGAATTTTTTTTTAAAAAAGAAAAGAATATTACTGCTGCATTGTAATTTGATCTTTGACAAGTTTTTGCTCTTTTCAAATTTCGACTAAAGAAGAAAATGTTGTTTTTTGGTGAGTTTTCAAATTATAGAATTTTTGTTGGTTATATGCTAATTTCCCTTTTTTATAACATCGTATGAATAATAGTGATTGTTACTTTGCAATGTTGATATTGAAATTGTTACTTTGGCATTAATAAAAGTGTTTTATTATT